GGATGATGCGCGCCCTCCATGTCCGGCGATCTTATATCAGAGGTTTATATTCCATATAGGTTTGAAGTACATCAAAAGCATCTCGCAGTACATTGGATACGGTAGAAATCCTCTTGAACAATGACCAAAACCAAGATTCTTTCTTCCTTCTCTATTGGTCTGCGTGAATTGATAGCTAGAAGTGGTTCTTGCTTTTGCTGAAAGTATTTTTTTGACCTAGATTGGCTGCATTATATGTGGAGCCCAGTTTTCGCTACGTTGATTTTCAAAGTTGGCTTTTTAGCTGATTAGTAGAAGTAAAATATCAATTTAAATTTTGAAAAAAATAGCATCTGTTCTGGCTAATTTCTGTTTAACTTATAAGCTCTCGTTAAATAGATATTCATGTCAAATACTTTTTTTTAGCGCTTATCAAGATCAAACCTGCTGTTGGGCTTGTATACCTTGCGATACAACAACAAGCATAATTATCAACGTCACGAGGCAAGTCTTGAATACAATCAATACTCGATTTTCAAACATTTTCAAATATATGTCCCATACAGATGCGAGATGTGCCCAGAAGGTGAAGTACCAGACGTAGAGACACAAAGCTATTGCTTACCCATTCCTCCAGTCTCTATGAGGTGGGTTTATTCCGAGAGAATGGATAATTGAGTAGGATTACTGTGTGAGTGCGATATTCAGCTGGGACACTGCTTGGGCATTAATTCCTGCTGGTTTCTCGTTGCTTGGTTTGTCCTCGACTATATTTGTCGTAGGCGTTTTCTTGAAGTTTTCGGATACGCCTGTGGTAAGTGTGATTATCGATCAACTATGCGATAATTTTGAAATCGATTTTTCTTTGCAGATTATGGCTTCCGGTCGTGAGCTTTGTTACTGTATGATCAGTGGTATCTCAATGTGCTACCTCCTTACATTCTTTCTCGTATCACAGCCTTCAATTCCGACATGTGCTTGTACAAGGGTGAGCGTTAGTTCTAGTGATTCGCGAAAGAAAGGGAGCTTTGGGTCTATTAGACGCGCCGCATCCGCGCGCGTGACGATCATTCATAGATTGCAAACCGTCAGCCTTTAACTTCAATTTTTCAAATACGGAATGCTTGCTTATAAATGCTGATTGTAACGTAACCATGTAACGCTTTAAATCATAACCAACACAGAACAGCGGCCTGCCGCGTCGCAACCTATCGCGGCGCGACAAAGTTTGTGCCCTGGAA